CGTGGGGTGGGTGGGGATCTAATGGAATGATTGGCCCACGCGGACACATCATCACATCTTACCTCCGGGTGGGTGGGGTGGGGTGGGGTGTCAACATGGATCGGCTGACAGGCTAGCAAGAGCATGCGTCGCACAAAGTGCACCTTGAGCCACAAATGTTGGCAGTACGCATTGTCTAAGAGTATCATAGAACAGGAACCAAGGTGGAATCCAACAGCATGGAAGAAGAACCTGCAGAGAATCAGGGATCATTCATATACCCGACCTCTTCGATGTAGGTAGATACATATATATATAGAGAGAGAGACATATAGAGAGAGAGAGAAATATATATAATATATATATATATAGGGGTGTCTGAGCTCAAGAAAAACGACAAGGCCGCAGGTAGTTTCTCTGAGCGCTTCTCAAGGTCTGTCTGTCAACGCGCATTGCGATGCAAGGCGCTAGGCAAGGTAGTAGTAGTAGTCGTCGTCGTCGTCGTCGTAGTAGTAGTGGTACTAGACGCGACGCACAAGCGACCCAAAACGTGACGCACAAGCGACCCAAAACGCGCTACACAAGCGACCCCCCGCCCCTTTTGCCGGGCTCTAGTGGATAATTTTTGTGGGACACTCTTGTGGGACACTCTTCTTGTGGGGCACTCTTGCCAGAATCTCTTGTGGGAGGTTACGAAACTTCCTCCAATAATAGTCACACTCACACATCAAGTCATCAACCTCCACAGACGGTTCGTCCAACCTTCAAAACGAGCGTTTCAATACGAGACATCACGCAAAAGTGACACATCAAGCCTTCAGAACGAGAGGTTCGTCCGAAACTCCCTCCAAGAGTCACGCGTCAAGTGTCCTAAACGAGCATTTTGGACAGGTGTCAAGTCTCCAAAACCAGCACTGGCGCGAGACTTACACGCAGTTTTGCCATCTAACCTCATAATTCCTGGCGCCTGCCACGCAAACTGCATCACAGCACCTCCACACACACAAAGCACCGTGCCTCGACATGTCTGGCCATATTTGCACCGTGCCACCCCTTTTGGACTGTTTTCAGCCTACTTTCTGAGTACACTCACATCAACCAAAATTGCAACCTTACCTGAGGCCTGTCACGGAAACAAAGCTCCGAGGCAAGCACTTCAAGAGGAAATCCCAATCGCGCAGGGACATTCAACGGCTCCAAAAATAACACCCCGTGAACGCCAGTCTCAATGGCACAGCACGCAAAGCGCGACCTCACGAAACGCTGCAACTGCCCAACTCAGCCGTCACACTTGCAACAGTTACACAAATCAGACACGTCATCCATCCACCCAAGACCTCGTCCAAAAGCTCCTCAACAGGAGGAACTTGCCGACAAAAGCAACACTGTTCGACAAAGGCGAACAGGTCCAGCCCGGACCCCCAGATTATAGATTAATGATTAATTCTAAACAGGAACCCTTCGCTACGCCTTGAGAGTGAAAATTCCGAATCACAATAACGCTGTTCGCAGCGACTTCAGCAACCCATAAAGGCGGCTCGACCGATTTGCCATTCTATTGGGCGCGACGCATGTTGTAGGGGTTGCCTTTGCGGGGCACATGGTATGAGGAGGTGCAACCAAGAAACCACATCACGTTTCTGCCACAGGTCAAAATGTAAAACATCAAAAGTATCAATGTCAAAACGTTCCATACACAACGTTGTTATCATCCATCTGGTTATACTGTTTTGCTGTATGTGTTTCAGCTTTAGACCCGTTGATTACTCGTCCTTTTTCTTGTCTTCGCTATATGTGTTTCGGTTTCTCCTGCGCCCCTTGCCAAGATGCTCGATTTTGCAATGGGACAGCATCTGAATCATTTCCTCCGCTATGACCATTCAAAATATGCGTCTGTTTTCCGCATGCATGCTTCTCACTTCTGAACACAAAACAAACCACGCTCCCAAGGGTCTTTTTTTGGCAACTTGTCCCAAGGAAAACCAAAATCCTTTGGGGTTAATTTTCGTCGCCCGATAGCTACACAAGCATAACCACGACCCCTGCACCATGAGGTCAACTTGCGACTTAGAGCGTGACTTTACCACAAGCGCCCGCAGGGCGCTTCTTCACCAAGATGCCGGGTACTCAAGCCATTGATTGAAATCTTCTCTCGCAACCTCCACCTGAAAAATCAGCACTGCAATTCCCACATCACATGTTCACATCATGGGGCGGTGTTGGGTGCGATCACAGGGTGATACAGGCCTTCATGTTCATCTGACGGTGCACCATTGAGCCGATCTCGTGAGTTTTTGACGACGTCCTCCACATGGGCTGACGTTGGCACGCAGTGTCGGCACGAAGATATGCACTGACTTGAATATTTGCACTTTCAAAGCTACCCTCCAGCGCAAGCCCCAAAACAAAAATGTGACACAGGGAACGAAAGCGCAACTTTTTCCTAGATTTCGAGCAAGCTACATAGTCCATCTGTGAATGGCATACACAAACTGAAGGCTTAAACTAATGACGCAAGTATGTCTAACTCATGTCCAAATACATTCTTCCAACTATAGAATTAAAGACGCCTTGTGCTCTGCGATCTCTCCTCGCGAAAAAAATTTGATGTCGGACCTCTCCTCATGATAGCAGCCCCGATATTCATGGGAGATTTCATGGCGCTTGTGGATGTCCCCTGTGAGGGAAATAGAGGTGTTCCTGACAATAAACCACCTTTCGGAAGTTCCGTAAAGGTCAACGATCCGAAGAACGCAGGGCCTTTACTGGGCCTGCACAAACCAAGAAGCACACCTTGTTAAGGGTGATAGCTTCGCAGGCGTCTGGCTGCCTGATGGAAAAGAAAGTGAGGTGGAACGCTTTGTCACCAGCCGGTGCATCCACAACCCACCGCAACATGGCAGCGAGCCGTGCGCGCGGGAGAAACAAAATGGGCTTCGACAACTCGGCGGCTTTGGGCTTCGACGTGGTGAAGTTCTTCACCAGCGCCTGCTGCGCTGAGGACGACACCCCGAAGAACTTAAACAGTCGCAACGCCGGCGACACCCTGCACACAACTACAGCGCAGCTCTTCCTGTACTTGAAGTAAGAACCCCAACAGCTCACTCTTCAAAAGAATTGTGAATCATTCTGGCCCTCCACATGATTACGCCAGCAGAGACCCCAGAGAGCCAAAAGACTTCTGCGGCAGCAAGCAGCGCGCAGCAGAGGCACACTGCTGCGGCGCCCGAGCTCCCAACGGCCCAGGGCACACAGCACCAGCGCGGCGCCAGCGCCCAACAGAAACGCCTCGGCGTTGAGGCACACACGCGCAACCCATTCCAACTGAGCGCAGCATAGGTCCTTGTAGTTGTCTTTGATATCCTCCCTGACTTAACACGCTCTCTTTGAAGCCTTGCGTTCTCCTCCACGCACGTTCTCCTCTTGCCCTCCAAGATGTCCTTCTCGAAGTGGAGGTGGTGTAGACCGCGCTGACAAGAACCGTTCCAGCTCCACAATCATGCTGAAAGGAAAGAGGGAGCAAGGTAGGTCTCATCGCCCGCAACATAGCCTCGTCCCTTGCCCTCTGACCAACACGGAACTTGAGGCACTTCTGGAATTTAGAGGAGACAACCCTGCTCCTCTGTCGGTGGAATTACTTCTTCCATCCATGGGGACCAACAACTCAGGAATATGCCTGTGGTGGACTTCCTACACGCTCGTTGGGCTCATAACCCATATGAGCGATGGCGCTCCTTATCTTGATTTTGAAAGGGCAACATAACGAGTCGATCTAGCCAACACAAACATATATGCTTCACATCACAAGAAAAGTCATAATGGGCCAAATTGTGCACTTTGGGTTACTGAAAAATCGCATACCGTACCTTGCTTGATGGATTCAGTTAGTTTCCCAAATTACTAAAATCCCAAACTGGCAGTCCTGCCACTGAAGCTTCCTTGGAGCAAACAGCATTGTCGCAGTGTGACGAACTGAGATTGTGAGGCCAAGAGAGTTCTCTCTGTGGCCTCGACTCGACTCTCTGATTCGAAAAAGCACTTGCCTCTTGTTGCTTTCATTGACCGAGTTGCCAATCCATCGCCACAGGGATTTGGGCCTTAGCTGATATTCTGAGCTCGAGACTCCAACAACAAACTGACAAAAGAACCTACGGGGAACCACAATGGTCACATCGAAAATTGAAAGTTCTCACGTGAGGAAGAAGCTACTTTAAACAACATCAAAGACAAAGAATGACTTAAAAAAATGGCAGCAACACTTTGCAACGCTTCGTCGCTAACTTTGGCAGCCTCGGCACTTTTCGGGCTCTGTCTTCACCCGGTCTCCCCGGACCAACGTGGCGATGACCTGCCTCGGGCAAAAAGAAACACACACACACACAAACGATGCCAAAAAGACACTGCTGTGAAGGGAAAAAGAAAATATAACATTTGTACATGAATGTACAAAGTGTTTTGAAATTTGTCAGATGTGCTTTGTCAATTGTCCTATGGTTTCCCTTTGGGATGGGTAGGTAGCTAGCTAGTAGCGAGAAGACAAGGAACGAAGTTGGCAATGAACATGTTAGCCAGCAGAAACGAATGCAAAAGGGCTCGGGACGGAAATTGAGCATTGAAACATTTCCAAGTTGAAGAAACGGAAGAAACTCAAGAATGGCCAAGGTTAGGCACGCCACGAAATGTGCTGCTCCATCCTTAGGCTTGCAAAAGAAAGGCCAGAACTTTGACACTTGACTATGGAAAAGCGAGCGCCAAGCCAAAAAAGGGCAGACTAGAGCACAAGCTTTCTGAAATCGTTCATCATTGAAAGTAAGCAGCCCAATAGACTAGAACGGTTTAATAGAGCCTAGAAGCTCACTGCAATGCAATGCAGCCCTAGCGGCTCCGCTGATTTATACCCTAACTCTTGTAATTCCCGTGCTTCATGGTCGTTCAGCACGGAGTCCAAGAACCTTCAGCTACTGAGCAGCTTGTTTCACTCTGCCATGTTGAACTCAGGCGTGAATGAAGTACAAACACCAAAGACACTCTTGCAAAAATCAGGCTTACGTAGTAAGCTGCCTGTCACGCATGTCACGCACATATTCCATCATTCTCTTGAATCATCTTGCGCGACATGGAGCAAGAACACTACTAGGGGCTCCTGGCCTGACTACTAGAAACAAGAATGCTACTAGGAACAAAGGGCATCGCTACTAGGAGCAAGGACGCTGCTAGGAGCTCCTGGCATCGCTACTAGGAGCACTCTTACTACTTGATGTCCGTCGATTCCGAACTCGGGAGGGACAGCGTGGGGCAAATGACACTCAAGGTACTCAAGGTCACAGCCATATTGGATGAGGCACACAGCCATGATGAGGTTGAATATCCCAATCACCACAAAGAGGAAAAGAACCATGTAAATAGGAATGACAACCTTAGATCTGCAAGCCCATACAAGGTCCATTGCTTTGCACGGCAGACAAAACATTCATGTTTTGCTTCGGTTTTAATGGTAAGATTAGTTCAGTTCAAGAAATCAGGCAAACATAGAACGCATTGACAAAGCAATTGCGCGTCAGCAACCAAGCAACGTCACCGTACACCCTTCGGAGGCGCTCATGCAAAGGGGCACCGAGATAGTCGGAACAACCGTCAGTGACGCAGCCTCAGAGTGTTTCAGTCTGTTTTGGGTTTTAGCTTTTTGTGAACACATGACAACTGCCAATGTCCCAAATCAACATGTCCAAGTACATCCAAGTACTTCCGCATACATCCAATCATTTCAATCACTTCTGCAACACACAAGCTCACAAAAACAATGTTGAGAAGAAATGCCCAACCATATTTTTCAGATAGGGACACCATTCTGCGAACTAAAACGTTCCTGAATAACACGGGCTGACATGTTCAATCCTGCAATATACGCAAGGCATTTCTGATGTGAAGGTTTTTGATGTGAAGGTTTTGGTACTTTTCTAAGTACGACCGGGAAGTACTTCGACAAAACCTTCTTACTCCTCTGGAACATAACCAACACGAACGCGGACTTAGAACCTTTGGCCAAAAAAAACAAAAAGTTGCGGCAAATCACAACAACGACAATAACAATGATGTTAAAGGCCTAAAAATCAAAAACATCACAGACTGCATAAATGCGCTTGCTTAGCTGAGCGGCGAAAGGCCGTAAACATGGCAGAAGGGACGTCTGTAAACTCGGGTTCCTGGGACTGTTTCAGCTCAGCCACCCCTGTCTTTGCTCACGTTTACAACCCAAAAGAAGCCTTTAAAAAAGAACATACACGTTGGGTATGTTCGTACTTTAGCGTGTGTGTGTGTGTGTCTGCTTTGTCGTCTTGTTCTTCCTCTCTTCACCTGCCAGATGATCCACGGCAGCACGGGTACGCACAATGATCACCAAATAACGTTCAAGGTTTCTATGTGGCATCCTACCTGCCATACCGTCTGGCATCCACTCCAGCGCTCTATTTGGCATACTTTCTCTATCTGGCACATCTTCTGGCACTCTACTTCGCATATCTTTTGGCATCCTTTCCGGCATTCTATTTGGCATATCTTCTGGCACTCTATCTAGTGTAATTGTCTTCTGCTGAGTTTTTTTCTGGCATACCTTCGGGCTTTCTATACTTGGCGCGTCCGAATACATGCCAAAAGATATGCCGGCAAGGGCGCCAGAGGATATGCCACGAAGAATGCGAGAAGATGCGCCAGTTGGAATACATGGCAGAAAGCATGCCAGAACCGAAGCCGGACCATGTGTCACAACCAATGTCAGGGTATTCCAGCTTGGTGCGAGAGCACAATTGCCAGAAGACGTGCCAACAAAGACTTCAAAACACAACCCAGAAATTCTCCCAGCTTCCTGCTGGCTGATGTCACACTTAGCGGCTTGACTTGATGCCAGAACACAGTGTAAGAATACGAACATTGCTAATGCAATGTCAGGCTGATAATTTTCCTCTTGGGTTGCCCAGGGGCGGGTCCATGATGCAAGAAATGCGGGCCCCAAATCGGTCTTCATTCAATGCCCGGGGCCCGCATTTCTTGCATCATGGCCCCGTGCTTGGCCCCGACCCTGGCCAACCCAAGAGGAAAGTTGCCTTTCAAGCAATCAGGAAGGTCTGTAAATACACGCGCCCCGCCTTCTCCCAAATCAACCTCACAACGGGAGTCTCTGGAAGTAAAGTAAGTTTGGGATTGATTGTTTTGTTTCGTTTGGTTCTGGCTTGGTTTGGTTTGGTTCGGTTCGGCTTGGTTTGGTTTGCGTTTGCGTTTGTTTGTTTGATTGAATGTTTAATGTGTTAACGTTTGTTTGTTGGTTTGCGCCATTGTGTGTGTGCGTATGTTTGCATTTGTTTTTGCTTGTTTTTGTTTGTTTGTTTGTTTGTTTGTTTGTGTTTTTTTCGTTCGTTCGTTCCTTCGTTCCTTCGTTCCTTCGTTCGTTTGTTTGTTTGTCTGTCTGTCTGTTTGTTGTGTTTTGCTTTGGTTTTCGCTTGTTTTTCTCTAGTTCCACAGTTCACGAAGTGATCAGTAAAGTCTTTTCAGCTACAGTGCTGCTATAGCAGCAGTGTCCAGTCCTCTAGCGCGGGGCCTTGAGTCTACAGTGACACTGTGGCACAGTGACCGTAACCATCAGTGAGAACGTCCTTTAACTTTTCTCTTGGGTTAGTGTTCGTCGGTACACTGAATCGTCTCGACCTAGTCTACAGTGCCTGTCTTGGAAGAATTAAAAATCGCAACGCGCAAGTCACCAGTTTCTAGGCTCAATGCAAGCGCTCATGCCATCACAGTCTCAAGTCCTCAGAAGAGCGAGTGTCTAATCCAAAAAAAACCGTCGGTGAACACAGCCTCCCCAGAAGTTCAGCGCTTCTGCGATGGAGATCACACTGTCACGCCAGTGATCTTCACATCCGCCTGAGATCTCAGTTGCAGTCTGGACTGCGGTCTTTTCTGAGCACAAGTAGTTCCATCCAAGTGGAGGCCGCGATTCCACCTTTCTGCATAGTGACTTGCGGCAGTGCCCGATGGTTGCGTTCATCAGCCACGGGGAGTGGATCATGTCCAGTCACCCTCTCCGCAGTTCGGTTGTACAGGAACAGCTCTACCTCAGTCTAGGAGCAGCGTCGTTCCTTCGATTTTGGAAACAATCACTTGGCAGTCCATGAGTCAGCATCATTCAGTCTTCGGGTCATCAGCATAGCCAGGTGAACAGATGCATTAGTGGTCTCAGTAATTCCCAGCAGTACCCATGAACATTGCAGCCGACGAAGACTGGCGAGTTGACAGTCATCTCTCTCAAGCATTGTCTTGACCATGCTAGTCACCAAGTTCATAATTTCAGCACCACCAACAGGGGTGTTCCATCAGGCATCTCAATGCCATCCTGGCATTTCTCCTGGCGATGAAGTACGCTGCCTCTTTGCTGGTAACTGTTCAAGAGCTTGCCCTGCATCCGGCTCTTTCCTGTCTTCCTTTTGCGCTCTTCCTCTTCCACGTCCTTTCCCCCTTCCCCGTCCTTTCCCTCTGCCTCGACCTTTCCCTCCCCTCTTCTTTCGACCTTCAGAGTCTGAAGCCTCAAACTCATCCTTGTGCTCTGTGTCTGGGTCTTCTTCTTCATCGGCATCAGCCAGTGTGTCACGGATGGATTTGCGCGAGAGAGCTTGTGCCTGCAAAATCAGGAAATTCAAGAAACGCAGCATCAGGCCTCAGGTCACATGTCTCATATCAAAGATTACATCGATCAAGGTGATTTATGATGATATCAGGAAGATCACGCGAGAAAAAACGACTACATAAGGCAGCAAAGACGAAGAACCTCAATAAGCACCATTCTTTCGACCAACAACACCAACGTACTACTGTAAATCAGCCAGGCCTTCAACAGTTGCTTTCGACGTTGTTACCTTGCTTAGCTTCAGTAAAACTCTTGCAGGCGTCTTCAATCTGCTGTTGCAGCGAATCATCCTTTCGAAGGTCACCAGGCAGAACCGCAATAGGCGCTCGATCCTACGGCGGGACTAACACGAGTCAAAGGCATGAAACCGCATCGCGTCATGATGCATGAAGCGCAAGCACATACCAGCACGCACGCGGTTGCTGCGCCTTGAAAGTGCCTCTTGTGTTCTTTTCATATCCCTTTGAGTCTTTGCTTGTTATCTCTTGATCTTTGGCTTTGGATCCTCCTTTTTTGATTTCCTCATCTGAATTGAGATCCTTTTGTTGACCTCTGAGAGGTGACATAGGCGGATCGGTGGTAATGTCCTCATTCCTGTCTTTCTTTTCTGTGGTTTCTTTCGTTGTGACTTCTCTCGCGCTTGCCTCACAACCAGTCTCTGCATTGTTTCTTGCGGTTGTTGCAGTGGCTACTGCTTTAGAGTCTGCCGGTACTTGTGTGATCTCCTTCTCAATGGAAGTGCCTCAGCCACGTCCATCAGGATGCTGCGCAGCCACTGCCACTGCAATTGTTACCCTTCTTGAGGAAGAACTTGCCATCGTGGTTCTGAATCCTTTGCCCGTTGCCACCAACGCTTGATTCATTGAGACTTTTCCCGCTTGGGCCTCCATGGCCTTGATGTCGCTGTGGTTCACTAGGTTGACGGAGTGAACTCGCTCGAAGATCTCCTCATAGTCTGTCATGAGCTTGTTCGAGTCCATCACTTTGGGTGTCTGTCTCTCGAAGGTCCACTTGCAGTCCTCGTCGGCCATCGTAGCGCTTCGCCTCCTTGCTCCATGACCATCATCTCGAAGTGCTTGAAGGACTCTTCGATGTCAATCTCGCCTTCCGTCGTCGTCGTGTAGAAGTCGACCATACCGCGCAGCGCGCAAGTAGGGCCCGCAAGGGCCTCAGTGATTGTACCTCAGCTGAAGTGCGGCGCGCCGCACATCAGCCAAATGCCTCAGGCAAGCCAGGTCCGACTTGCGCCGGGGCCAGCCTAAGTACTTCTGTAGGTCATCCTGGGGAGAAGGAACATCAGGTGGGAGCAGGGGGCAAAATCCCAAGCAACATGAACAAAGGTTCCGATGGCACCGCAATTGCGATGACAAAGATTTGGAGTACCTCCATTTTTCATGACAGAGAAGCGAGCGGGCGAAACAAAGGCACCCGTCAACACGGCGACCTCATGCGCCCCATGTGCCACCTCACGGGCAGCTTTACACCGAGCAGCATCGTAGGGCAAGCCGCGAAATCGCTGACTATCCTTCCTAGAAGTGCTCGTGAACGAAGTCCACATTTTATGCCGCCAAGCTTCACGAAGCACATGGCCGATTTGATCAGTCGTCATGCCGCCCTGCTGGCGAAGGTCACAATGAAGCGGATGCGAACTGTGCCGCCACTGCCAAGGTGCTGAAATGACCCATCCAAGATCCTTCAAAAACTTACGAACCCGTGCCGTCACGCCACCCGGGCTCGTCCAGTCGGTGAGCAACCGGCCAAGGGTCCGCATGCTACGAGTCACAGCCGTCACAGCGGCCTGTCCAGCCATGAAAAGAAGGTCCTGAGAGTGGCCAAGCAACAGTTTCTGCTAGTGAACAGATGCCGTGCGCTGACCGTAGCCGGCCCAGCGCAACAACCGCTCACACGGCGCAACCTGTTTTAAGGTAGGAGCACGAAGTAGCCAGCCATAGGTGGCCTTTGAAGCGACGGTGCACTGAGCGTAAAAATGCCGAACGGCACCTGCAAAGGGAGCCGCACGCACACGCCGCGCTGCGTCTTTGGCTTTGTCCAAACGAGAGCACTGCTTTTCGGTTGGACGAGTATTGCCCTTAGTGAAGGAAACCCCCAAAACTTCAAGGCAATTCGTCACGTGTGGAGCCAGGGCAGGGTCGGCCCGCTCTGTCGCCAACCTTGGGAGGCCGCTTTGGACGACGCATTTGGTCCATCTTACGTTTAGCTTTGCAAAAGAACTGAGTTTTGCGGACATTTTACGTCAAGCCAAGTTGCGATGCATGATGCTGCCACAGGGACCAAACCTGACGCATTTCGTCGACCTCGGGGGCGCTGAAACTCCGGTAATCCAGATAAATTACCTGGGTCAATCGCCAAGGGAATCTGGCCTGGATCACCTCAGTGGGGACTTGCGTCAACACGTTTAATGCTCAAGGAGCAAGGCTGTCGCCCTGCGGCATTGAGGTGCTCACCGAGACCACCTGCGGCCGACTGTTACCTGACAACTGCAGGATACGTTGTTGCCGTTCCCACAGCAGGGAAATGGCTTTGGTCAACCATTCAGGAATCCTCGTCTTTTGAGGAAAGCCAGGACACGTGCAGGAGCGACGCGGTCGACGGCCTGTTTGAAATCTAAACTGGCTAGGACAGAACCTTTGGCGTTAGCCTCAGCAGTGCGACCACAGCGGCCGCCGCGTCGCGCTTCTTGCGCGAACCCCATTGGTGACCCGAGAGCTGGGCCTGATACCGGGTCAACGCATCCTGGTTCTGGAGTTTGGCACTGCTGTAAACCCTCCAAAAAAACGACATGATCGAGATGGGTCGAAGTTTAGAGGCAGGGGTGGGTCCATCGAAGAGGAATTTTGCCGTATGCAAGTCCAAACCGAGGGAAACACTTCGAGTCGCTCGAAAGCATGCAGCACTTCAGCCCCCATTGACTCAGGCCAAGCCGCGATTTCTGAACCGGACCAACCGTCAACGCCAGACTTTTGTGGCGCTGTTTGCGCACGGCTCGCAAGAGGTGATCCAGCTGCACCGGAGCCCAAACTTCGCCAGCCGCTTGAGGAACCTGCCACTGATCGAGATAATCGGTACCCGAGATCTCGCCGGGCAGATCGGGACGTTGCCAGACCCTCTGCCAGAAGGAGCACACTGTTTCCAGGGCATCACTCATGGGCGTGGAGGCCTCAGAGACGACTTCGGCTTCATCATCAACAATGTTCTGTTGACGCCGCTGTGGCTTTGCTCGAAGCCATTGGAAGGTTGCCGTTTGGGAGTTGCGTAAACGCAAGCGCCACTGTTGCAGGACCCTTGTTTTATGCTGCTGCTCCAATTGCTGCACCTTGCGTCCAACAGTGGCCGCGGTGGATTCAGGCGTCCAATGTGGACAACGGCAGATTTTAACCCAAAGAGGATGAGTGGTACCTATGGGCTGCCCATGCCTTTGCCTAAACTCAAGTTCCTCCAACCGACCGCGCAATCGCCGAAGAACTCGAATTTCTTTGGGGGTAGAAGAATCGTTTGGCTGATTGAAAGCAAACTGCCTTTTTCGGAACTTGGGACCTGCGCCTTTGTGACGGTGAGGTCTCTTGACCGTGGTCATGCCCAAGCCGCACCGTCGCGCTGAAGACAACAGGAATTCTTCCAAATTGTAAGTTAAACATGGCCCAGATGTTGTCAACCTTAGTTTGCGGATCCTTAACGGGATCGGCTTCAATACTGCGAACCTCATCCAAAAAGGTTTGCCATTTCCGAGATTGATCAGCCCATTCGAAGTCCAAAAATCTAGTCCATTCACCTACATCATCCGGAGATCGGGGCAAGTAGGTATTACACGGGGTAAGTTCAAAAGTCGGCGGGGCATCCCAACCCTCGTCCGCCGGCAACTCAAAAGAGAAAGGTTTATGGTCCGACAATTTTTCACTGCGCGATCGACACGAAAGAGCCGGAGAGTTGTAAATCACAAAGTCAATGATGGCCGAACTATTCCAACGGCTACCGCAAGTGTCCCGAGGGTAACACACAACCGCACCCTGGGTTTGAAGGGCCCGACAAAGTCGGGACTCATCGGGTTGCTCATTGAAATCTCCCAAAATCACCCAAGAATCATGAGTATGAGCCTGAGTCAATTCAAAGAGATTTTGAAAGAAGTCCGATTTTTGGGGTCGATGTTGAACGTAGATATTGAAGACCAATCGATTTCCGATTTGAGTACACACGATATGGCCTCCCGGACCGAGATTCGCCTGCCAAGACGAACTTCGAACTGAGATGTGGACCAACGTGATCACACCTCCAACGCTATCCATACCTTTACGTGCACAAGGATCGCCCAAGGTGAAGTAGCACTGCCATCCTGCACGGTCGGCTGCCGCAGCGAACCGAGTGGCGTCCCAAGAGGACATGTTCACTTCCTGAAAAGCCATCACCTGCAGGGGATCGTACCGGTAGGTCTCGAAGGCACGCCACGTTACGTCGGCCGAACCGGTGTTCAGACTGATCCCAGCAAGTATCCGTCCGGCCGGGCCAGGCTGCGGCTCGACGCCTTCCTCGGTGAGGTCCCTCCACCAAGAACACTTCTGAAGGGGAGGTAACTTAGGAATCTGGAAGACACCTTTTTTGGGGGGGTTTTCTGCCCGATGCTGCATCTCCAAAGTTTGCTTCCGGCCCCATTTCCAAGCCAAAATGGTGGGAAGAACCGTGTCGGGTTGCGTCTGTCGCAAAGTCAGCCAATGATTGCCGCGACAAAAAGGTCGCGGTGTACAAACGGAGTCGCAAAAGTACGTGGTGTTATTGGTCAATCGTTTACACTTTTGACAGGTGTGCCGAATACGAGCATCATCTTTGCAAATTCCCGTAGCATTGGAACCGATAAAGATAAGGTCATGTCCCTTAGCCGTCGCTTCTTGCAAGCGTTTTTGTCGCCAAGCAGCGTTGCGCCAACCAGACTGGTTGCGTTTGTTTTTCCGAAAACCCTCCAAGCGCATCTGTTTCAGTTTTTCAAGATTGGCCTTGGGGGTGATTTTCGCGCGTTGGTCTAAGTGGGCACCAATGGATCGTTCCCGTTGGGATAAAGGTAACGCAGTGGCCAGACCAAGCAGACACTTGCTGCAAGTCCAACAACGATTCTCCCACGGAAGGTCGGCGACCTCGATCGTAGGCAACGTAGTACGAACCGAGTGAAGTTTCATGTCCGCACCCGGATGAGATTTCTTCATGTGAACAATTTTTTTGAAAAGGTTCTTGCGAGTAACCGTACTGAAACTATACTCACAGAGTTTACAATGCCACACATGTTTTTCGACAACCGGACCGCCCTCCTGGGTTTGTTTGCCATAAAATCGACGCCGACACGTCGCAGTCGGCCGATCGCCAGGGCCCGTGAGGCTGTCAAGGGCATTATTAGCCATTCGAGTGATGGTGCTACACGCCAAGGGGCAATGCTGGAGTGTCCCAACTGAATCAGTAGCGGAAAAAGGCACTCCTTTGCTAATCGTTTTTAACCTAGCGGCGGCAGTGGCCCTATTTGGGCATTCGTCCAACACTGGCTGAGCAGGGGACTGAGCCTGAATAGGAACGACCCAGCTTTTATCGACGTGGCAGATCGAAGAGGCCGAATCTTTTGCGTCACTGGGGGCCTTGGGCCCTTGCTGCCGAGGCACTGAGATAGAACCTTGGAAAGATGCCACGTCCAAGCGTGGGCGTTTGACCGGTCAGACCGGCCCTGAGAGGGAGCAGGCTTGGCAGGAGTACGGTGTGGGAGGGCAAGGCGCGAACCCAGTCAGGTTCACTCTTGCCTTTGCCTTTGCTCTTTCCTTCGTCGCCACCCTTGCCTTTGGGCGATCCATTCTTGCCCTTGCCTTTGTGCCAGGCTTCAGCCCCAGCTGTCCAGGGCAGCAACGCATGCCGTTGCGATCTTGAGGTTCTTGTCCAAGGAAGCTCCTGCCAGCCTTTCATACCCCCTTCGAGGACCGACCAAGGCTTGAATAGTGCCAGCCTCACACTGTCTTGTTTTGGGCTGGAACGCTCTGCCTAGCCCCTGCCAGGCTTTGAAGCCATCACCATTCGTCACGCTCCGGATGATCCGGAGAGACCTTCCGCTTCACGAAGCTTACCAAGTAGGAGTAAAGCTTCTTTGCTCTTCTTGTACTCCTCCAACTTCATCTCTTGTTCCAAGTCCTTATCCACATACCCCAGGCCCGTTGTGCAGGCCTCAATGAACGAGAGGTAGCTCTTGAAGAGGAAGATCCACTCAGGCCAGGTGGCAAATCCATGGATCTCTTGGACCGCTTGCTCCAAGGCCATGGCACCAGGAAGTTGCCGTCCAGGTAGTCACCAGCGCTGATTGCTCCTCGAAAGCTGCCGCCACAGCAGCCTCTGGAAGCCTCTATGGCGTCGAAGGGATGAGGATCGGGTCCTGTCCTCTCAAAGGTCCAAGGAGCTGCACAGAGACTGCTCGAATCCCCTTCACAGCTCCGCTACCATCTAAAAGGTTCGCTCCTTTTCTTCGAACCTTAGCGGAGAAGGCATGTAAGTCTTCTCTACATGTATTGAACATGGAGGTATGGTGTGTACTGCTCTTGACTGCAGCATGTTACAATTTTGGCACGCATGTTGCCGCATATGTTGCCGCCCACCCCGCCGCATACATGTCCAAAAAGATGTCGGATGTGTTTTGAAGTGCTTGCCGTAAAGAGCATACTGTTGCCACCTTAGGCACACCCCGCCACATACACTTCCAAATTTACAATGGAGCTTTCCGAAACCTCTCAGAAACCCCTCAATGGTCATATTAATCTTCGATCGAGAATAGAGACATCCAACTTATAAGAATCTGTTTTTCGAGATGCACTCCTGTTGGTAAGGGGTCAATTCCACTTGAAGGCGACGATAGGGCTAGCACTGGGCAAGCATGTTTCAAATTTGAGGGCTGTTGCATTTTGGTCCTCTCCTTGGAGTCGAAGAGGATCCGCAAGGACACGCCCATGAGGAAGACCTGATGCCAATATTGGAGCCCTCATGGAACCCTATGCAGGATTCAGGCTCTAGCATCGCACATGCAGAAATTGAGCCTCTTTGTTATCTTGCATTGTCAAAGGGCAAACATTGCGCGCACCAAAAACCGGGTGAGAATACTGTTTGGTAAGAAGAATGGTGAAGCTTTTCCAGGCGTCAGGCAAAAATCGCCTTCTGAAATAGAAAAAAACCACTTGCAGTTTGCAAAAGCGCACTGCCGTACAACAATTGGGATGGCAGCATGAAATGAACAAGTACATCAAAGAAAGCGCTGAAGCAAAGTCACCACAAAGACAACAAGGACTGCTAACTAGCAGCCGACATAGCCAACTAGTAGGTAGCACTCTGAGCCTCCATGTTTACCGCCAGTCTTTCGAACCCTGGACAAAGGCTGCCAGGCTACGGTGAAGAACAGAAGTGCCTTGATTGCAGAACACCAGTGCAAGCAGCCAAACGTCTAAAGCATCTCAGCCCAAGGGAAAAGAAATGGGCTCAAGATCGAAAAGGATCAAAAAGAATTGCGAAATCCAAGAACTATAGGCAGAAAGAGATTAAAGGTGAGGCCTCCTTCATTTCCACCCGCAAAGAAGCATGACGAGGGGACTGTATTTGGTCACTTAGCCATTCTCTACAACTACTTTTCCATTCGATAAAATCCCGGAAACACTGCGCAAACAAACAATGTCTTACAGCCAAGGCACAATTGCCCAGAAAAGCACCCGAACTCCTCAAAGCCAATTGGTGGCTACAAGTTTGCTTAAGGCCGATAGTCTCGAAGTTGAAATAACTCACATTTACCAGAAGCGTCCTTCCTTCAACTAGTGAGGGATGATAAAGTGCTGAAGAAAACGTCACAAAACAAAACGACCGAGAAATAGCTGCTCTGCCCCGGCCCTGCGCCTGATAAAACACCCAGAATAATGACCTTGCAAGAAGCTATTAGAAACAAGTGCATCGCTTCTAGTAACAGGTGCCTTACTAGTAGTAACAAGAAGCTATTATGGACTTGCGGTCGGTCCATGACCCATTCACTACTTACATTGGGCGTGGCAGGCGGACTAAGTGACTAACAATACATAGCTGTTCAAAATCCAGTTCGTAAAAACAACGTAAGAACAATGTTGTTTGTGAAAAAAAAAAACTACTTGGTCATAGACTGCATAGCAAGTTGGATGAGATTCTGCAGCAGGTCGGTCGTCTCTAATCGCCAGCGAATCCCGACGGCAAAATGAGTAGAGTAGAGCTAAACAATCAACGCAATGTGGAAATGTACTCAATAGCGATGGCCAACCTGACAGCGACGCTATTAGGTTCACTGGACAGCTCGAGAATACAAAACTAATTGCGATCAGAGTAGTAGCTCCTGGCCGTACTACTGTAGCTTCTGGCATTACTACTAGGAACAAGAAGCTACTAGTAGCTCCTGGCATTCCGACTACGAACAAGAGGATACTAGTAGCTCCCGGCGTTACTACTAGGAACAAGAAGCTACAAGTAGCTTCTGGCACTACTACTACTAGTAGCTCCTGGCATTACTACTAGGAACAAAAAGCTACTAGTAGCTCATGGCATTACTAGAAACAAAAAAGCTACTAGTAGCTTCTGGCATTACTACTGGGAACAAGAAGCTACTAGTAGCTGCTGGTCGTACTACTAGGAACAAGGACGCTACCAGGAACAAGGGGCATCGTTATCTGCCCTTCTCCACACCAACAGACACATTTCGTACAAGCAGTGGCATCTAGCGATGTTTGTCTTCTGGTGTTTGTGCCGGTGATTGGCGTAGGCTACACTGACATCGGCCATGGCAAGGCGCTTTCGTTGAGTCTTCGAAACATCATGGAAAATGAGAGGAAAAAGGGAAGGTACTGCAATTTGTGAAAGATTATTGTTTCCGTGTCAACGTGGGCATGGGTCTTTAAACTAGGTTATCACATTTGCCCAGGGCTTCGTTGAATGTTCGCACAAAAAATGTATGGAAAAGCCTTCCCAAAAACTCACACTTTCACGGGATCTTAAAACCTAGTCACCTGGTTTCTTGAGAAGCGTCCAATCCCGGTTTCTTTACTCACTACTAGTAACAAGAAGCTACTAGAAACAAGTGCATCGCTTCTAGTAACAGGTGCCTTACTAGTAGTAACAAGAAGCTAGTAGTAACAAGTGCACAAGCTGCTGGCGGCTGGGACGTGAAGAAAAATCAACACATTCTCCCTGTTGCAGCTTCAGTGCCAAGGCACTCGCAGCTCACGGACAGCTCCAAAGCGCATGACTCGAATGAGCCTGGCTCGGGAGCAATCCTTCTCCAAGCCGTTTGTAACTTTACAAGAAGGACATCACTGGTCCTGTTTTTTACAGATGAAAACTGACATGATTCACCAGGAAATTCTACATGAATGCATCTGCTGAGCAGGGAGTTCAGGTGGCTTGCACTGATGACGCATAATGGGCTTGGAAGGCAAAGAATTTTCCATGAAAATGAACGGGAATTGGAAGGCAGTGCAAGTGCAGGTGTAAATCTCAAAGGCAGGATTGGTGTTGGGCGGGGAGGGCGCAGGGCCTCTCCCCAAAAGAACACACAAGCCGTAGAACTCTAGATCTTGCTCTCCCTTTGCCTTCCATGTTTCCTCAAATTCTACTTTGATGATCCTTCCCTTTATCAATCTGTTCCCTTCCTCTTTGTGCGTATCCTTCCCTTATTCTTTCCTTTTAATTCTTGGTCTCTCTTTCTTTTCCTTTCCTTTATTGCTCATCCGTTTTTCCTTCCTCTTTTTCTTCTTTTCTGTTCGTTCTTCCCTTTCCCTTCCGTTCCCTTCCCGTGGCTTCCTTCTTCCTTCCTGCCTTGGTTACCTACAGCAGCACAGGACACTGGCCACTGCAAGCAATATAGGTTGAGAATCGGTCCAGGAAACTGGCCACTGCAACAGAGAACCAAGAAGCCATCCATGGAGCCAAAGGCCAAAAGCAAAAAGCCTAAAGCGAGAACCTAAAAAGGAACTCTAAAATGAAAAATAGAAAGTCCTAGAAGAAAATCCTTTCCATACATAATTGTGCCCTTCTGGGACGGTGGACAAAACACACTGTCGGATTTAACCTGCAGAAAACCTGGATTCCATTTATCATTGTAAAGCCTGTGGCTTCATGAATGCAGCAACTGCCCAAACTCTCTCATTGACAGAAGGTAGTAAGGCAAAACTACATTGCTGATGCTGCAAGGGTGTTGCAAGCGGTTGCTCCGATCTGCAGAGCATGATGTCTGTTGCACTCCCCCGGCTAATCCCCAGTCTCAGACCACAAGTTGATAAGGGCTCGGGGTTCCAACATGTTGGGGAAGCTCGACCTTTCGTTGAAAGCTTCTTGATAGAAATAATGATGAGGATGTCTTATTAAGACTTTGTGATCGTGGCATATCTTGAAGCCACTAGGCTTAATTTCTCAGAAGAAAAAATGATGTTGTGTTGATTTGGAAAATTGTTTCTTTACTGTGCTTTGTAGGGAACAGTGGACTCACATACTGCCTTTTCAATGATGTTTAAATAGGTGTTTCTAAATTTTTCGCGAGAGATGTGTTTTCGGTTGTAGCTTTCCAGCAATGGGTGTGTTCAGCTCAGTGCAGCCCAGTGCACATATTGTTTTAACCATTTGCCGATGATGGGCGAGTGTTTCGCTTTGGCTGTTTCTAAATTCTATCACAGTTCAGTTCTACTGGCTGCAGTAGTCTTCAAAAAATGTTTGTTGGGAAAAGGTGGCCTGCTTTATGTTGAAAAAACAAGTTACTACTAGTCACTGGTCTTCGCACATCAAACATGTGCCCTGCCTGCAAACACGGCCCAGTCTCAGAACCTTGATCAACATAATCCCATCCTGAACAGAGCCAGGTAATACAGCAAACCAGCAAACTACCAACTACAACAAAGGCGAACAACGTGAAATCAACGTGAAATCACCAAAATGACCGGAACAAGTAAACGTGAAATCTGTCGACCAGGTCAACGGGTCACCGGGGTCGACGAGGTCAACGGGGTCGGGGGGGTCGACCATCTGTGGTTGGCATTCTCTAAAGACAAATATATATATATATATATCAAACTCTGGGCAAACTCCGGCGAAAGGTAGAACATCACGGGGAACAGGTGGCAAAATGGTTGTTTTCGCTGAAATGATCGCCCATATTTCTTCCGGATAATACCTAGTTGAAAGTTGAGCGACACTTCTGTTTCTCAGAACATAGTTCTTCGGCATCAGCCATGGCAAAATCATTTGGCTTGACTAGGTTGACCACCAGGATTCAACAACATGGAGCGAAACACTAGCGCGATAAACCGAATGCCACCTTGGCTAAAAAAAAACCTTCATGCTTCTACAACCTTCCAAGCAATGTTCATCTTGATATGTCTGGATCACAAGCACACTGCTGCAGAGGTGCCAAACCACTTGTGGAATCATCTTGAGATAGCCTTGGTGGACAACGGCGACACAGTGTTCCGCTGCTTTACGGGTGGCCCATGGCATGCATGCTCCTGGAGGGGTAGGCACTGCAGCCTCTCTTCTGGCACTCACGAGTAAATGATATATGTATTATATATATACATTATATATACAATATATATAATATATATTGCGAGCGGATGTTTGACGCTGAAGGGGTCTGCGGGTAAAAGGTTGAATGGCTTTTGTTTGCCACTCCTCCTTTGGTGCCTGAGCGTGTCAGCTTATGCACCAACTCTCTAAAAAGGCAGGTCTTCACTGTCCATGAAAGGGTGGTGCGTATCCATCATAGCGTAAATTTCAAACTTCTTTTCATGGTCCCCTTCATGGTCAGCTTTCTGCCACTCTGTTTGCAGCTTCAACATGTGCTGCTTTGCACGAAGTCCAGATCGTGCACATGCCGAATCGAAACACTTCAACTCGCGAAGCTCCTCACGAGTGAGCCAGGCATTTGTAGCCTGATTGATGGTAGGGTCTTTGACCTCCTGAGTGGGCAAATCTTCATCAGCCCACTCAACCTGTTGGGTTGCCTCGCTCACTTCCATAGCCGTCTCCGGTGCTTCATCCTCGCTCTCCGGCTCCCGGGCCTCGATGAACCGCAAGGGAATCTGAACCACTTCTCCACTGTCCAGACGCACCGTCACGGTTTCTTCCTCATTCTCTTCCTGCATCTCTGCTTCTTCCATGTTTCTGTAGGGCCGCAAGTCAATCGGTCCATTGTCTCTCTCATTCTCCTCTTTGTAGGCCTTGATCTGAGCGTGGATTCGCCGCAAGTCAAAGTCCTTATTGGAATCCTGGATGTAGTTCCAGTGTCTCCATTCTTCCTCGTTCACCTCCTCCTTGTCGATGTATCCTGAGGCCTTGATCAGACCTCGATGGATCTTCTGACTGTAGCTCTTCATCTCCTTCATCTCTTCTCGCATGCCCTGCACATAGGCTCTGGTAGACACTCCGTTGACATAGGCGCTGTCCTTGGCGTCCGCAATCTTGATCTTCAGCTCCTCGACAATGCCCCATAGCTTATACACCGCCCATGTCAGCGCCAATATCATCAATGCCATGGCCACCACAACCATCATCATAAGGCCATTGTTCCTTTCCACCTTTTCCTCAAGACCTTCGGCCCTTGATGCCGTGGCCTGCTCAAGACCCCCAACAAGCAGGATCCTGTTCAGCAGCTTTGCCAACTTCTGGATCTTCACCCGGTTCACTCGACTTTCTTCCATCTTGGCATACTCCTCCTCGCCAAGCTTTTCCCCATCTCCGCTCCGGGTGTTGCACCAATACAGGATCAGCATGATGCGGTTTCGCGATAGCGGCTTTGTGCCCAAGTCAGCCACATTGTGGAGGGTCCCAACTGCCTTGACTCGAAGCTCCTCCTGAGCCACCAAATCCTGAATCCACAGCAGTTTTCCTGCTATGTGGCGCAGCTTCCCTGGGCCTCGCCGGTGACAAAGATGTAGGGCTGCCGAATTGTCCACCAAACACTCGTGGATCACCACTTCATCCACCAGAAACTCCAAGCACCGCTTCAGATAGATTCCATCAGCGGCTGAGCTTACCAATGCATTGAGCTCTGCCTCGGCTGAAGATAGGGCCACGCTTTTCTGCCCTCTCGAACTGGTGAAAATAACCACTCCGTTCAACATGTGGATCGCGGCTGAGGTGGATCGGCGATGGCTCTTGGATCCTGACCAATCACTGTCGCTGAAGGTCTCAATGATCCATCTGGCCTCCATGGTGCGACAGATCAGTCCTTGCCCTGGCTCTGTCATCTCCAGGATGCTGTGCTGGCCAATCGTCCCCTTGAGGTATCCGATGAGCTTTCCCAGTTTCCTCAAGCTGCTGGTCGTAGGAAATGACATAGTCGATGCCAGCTCCTTGATCGTGTAGGAGACATCCGGCCTCTCCTGTGACAGGTATATCCCACATCCAACCAGTGAGCGGTACAGGCTTGCCAATTCAGCTTTGAGCTCAACTGAACCATCAGCTTCCAGGACTTCAGGACCACAAGGAAGCTTCTGTATCTTTGCTTTGCCCAATTTCTCCTCATACATTTCGATCATGCTCTCGGCATACTTCCCGGGCATTACTTTCAAGCCACCTTCAATTTCCACATAGGTCCTCCTCAAGAACTGGAATGAGCTGCCCTCACCAGTCAAATGCTGCTCTGAGATTTCAAAGCTCTGCTTGAGGTCCGGGATGAACTGCTCCATCACATAATCCTTCTCTCCCACAAACATCACATCGTCCACGTGAATGAGGAGCATCATCTTGTGACCCAAACGTCCAAGGCAAGGGCTGATTTCTGAGAAGCTGAATTCCCTTGCTTTCAGCCAGTCAGTGAGATACTCGAACCAAGCTTTGGCTCCAATCCTCTGGCCGGGCAAGTTCTTCTTCACCTCAAAGTGGCCACTGGCAGTGCTCACCTGTGTAGGTACTGCCTGAGGGACCTGCAGGAAAGCATCCTTAATATCCAGGGCACCCAAGGTGTACTCCAGTCCACCATGCTCCTCCTCTGCCTTCTTCATGAGGTAGATGGACGGTAGCAGCCGCAAGGCTTGCCCACCTGTCGCTGGACTATGGACATCATCACGACGGTCTGTGGCATACTCTCTGGCTACCAGCCGTGACCTCCTCAGGAATTGCTTCGGTGCTCCTGGATGCTTGGTTCTCGGCTTGGCTCTCCAATCTCGCACGAACCTCGTAGTGAGACTCTTGTATCCTTCCAACCTCTTCTCCACTGGAGCGAGCACTCCAAGCCTCTCCAGTCGCTTCTCCTCCACCTCATCAGCTAGATCATCAACCCACTTCGGTGGGTCTGGAGGCACTCGGTCCAAGGGTGCATCTGACCATAGGGCATCTGGGATCTCCAAGGCCTGCTCCTCTTCTTCTTCATTCTCTTGACTCCACACGGCCATCTCCTCCTCACCGATGATATCGTCCATGTGGTAGTAAGACTCTGTTCCAACCTGGGTGACTTCAACTCTCCTCTCCATGTTACCATCTCCTTCATGCCTTGGTCTCTTTGGCTCTGGAGATGAGGCTTCGAGTGGACGCGCTGCCTTCTCCACTGTCATCTTCATCTTTTTCATATCGGTCTTCTCCTGCTCCACCATCCCGGTCTTGGACGCCGTACTCCTTGGAGTTGACACTAACTGCTGCGGCTTTGGACGAGGAGCTGAAGGTCCCGCCTGATTCCTCCTCTCATCGATGACCATAGGGTTGGACACCTTCACCAACTCCGGAACCTCCTCCTCCACGAAGTCCTGCTTCTTGTCCTCCGCCAATTGCAGCTCTGCCAAACTCTTCTGTTCTCCGCCTTCTCGTCCTTCAACTCGATTGGGCTCATCCTCAACCAGCTCTCTGGCTTCCTCTCTCTTTCCCGCATAGGACTTCACAAAGGCGAGAACCTCCTGAGCATCAACATCATCAGGGGATACCCCACTGCTCGGTGGTAGAGCTCGACTCATAGGCACACCCACCATTGATGCCATCCTCTTCGAGGGGACTATCCGGCCTCCAAAGTTTTGCTGATATTCCCAACTGTAGGCCGTGAACCCTTTGTAGCACATAAGGTTCTTCTTACTTGCCCCTGACATCCTTCTCAAACAGCGGCTCAGGTAGACCTTGTTGGCATCACCGATCACCCAGTTGTCCTGGAGCTCCGTCTTTCCCAGGTAGATTCCAAGTCTCCACTTTGGGTCAGCCTTGTACCCTTGCTTGGGCTTGCAGTATGCAAAGCAAACCTCCCCAAAGTTGCATAGCTTCCCCTCATAGGCTCGTCCATGCGCCAGTTCAAAGCTCGTAGAGCCATGGAATGGCTGGAAGCGGTTGATCAGCCATGCGCTATGCCTGCAAGCCCAGCTCCATATGGGGTGTTGGCTCTGGAATCGAAGCTCAATCTGCTCGGTCAGGTTCTCCATCAGAGTTGCTGCCAAGCTCCTGATCCGCTGGACGGCATTCTCCACAAGTCCATTGCCGGCTGAGTCATAGATCTTGGTAGTCCTCATTGTCGTCTTCAGACCCATAGATGACCTTGCTGTCACCAAGAGCTTGAGAATCTGCCTCAAATTAAGTCGGCTCGTTGTCACTATCGTATTGAACCTCCTCATGGCCGAGGACTTGGGTGAAGGCCAGCAACTCATGGGTGATGAGGCTCATTTGGTTCTTCGACTTCACCGGCAGGGCGAGCAAATAACCTGTCTGTGAGCACACCGCTACCATCAGCAATGCCCCTCGCTCAACCTCTAGCCCAGCCTGGGCCCCATCATCCTCCTCTTCACCAAGCGCTCCTGAACCTGAGGCTTTCACGTAGCAGAAGTCGAACGATATGGTTGGGCATCCTTGTTCATGGGCCTTGCCAGTCCTCCTATGTTGGTCTTGACGGGCTCGATGTTTCAAGCAGGCGGTGCGCCAGGCTTCATATGGAAGATGAGTGAGTTCATGTTGGCGCCTCTCCTCAACCGTTGGCTCCCTCGCTGAAACCTGCTCCAAGGGAATGCGCTGCTCCATCGCTCGTCCCTGAGCGGCCAAGTCCCGGGCCATAAGCAGCTCCAGTTGGTGTTGGTGTGACATCAACCGACTGAAGCACTTCTGCTTTCCCCCGCTCTTGCCAATCCGGTAGAAGGCGCATGCAGCCCGTAAACTTCGAAGGGGGCTATCCAAAGTGAGCACCACACCGTTCACCTGGATCTGAGACGGCAATGCCGCACCGACCTCAAGCCGGGCCTCCTGATCCTCCAGGCCAACTCCCCCTTGACCTTCTCCTCCAGGGATGTCTATGCCCTCAACATCCTCCTCCATAGCTGCCTCGGGCACCGTCAATTCCTCCATTCCCTCAGGATCTGCTCGGAAGTGGAAGCCATCCATCACTTCAAATCCAAAGGTTTCGGGCGTTTTTTCCACCTTGGGCGATGAGAGTGATGATCCTTCCCATCTCTTCCTCCTTGAGCTCCTCAATGGGCTCTTCTTGTTCCCACAATCCATCAAGGGGCTCGGCCATCTCGACCAACTCCCACTGCCCACGGCGCTCCACCAAAGTTGACCTGCAAAAGCCCTCACTCTGGTTCCTAAACTCCGGCACGAACTGGGGTGTCTGGTAGTGTCGGCTTGAGTGCAAGCCCATCCAGAAATGCTCCTTTTTCTTCCATCCATACTGCCCCAATGCCGCTTCTTGTAGCTCTTGACCAAGCTTCACCCTCAGCGTGCGAATCATGCCAGGCTCGTGGATCATCCGGATCGCTGCTCGAACCACAAGGCTTTGGTTCTGAAACGCCAAAGGAACTTCAGTCTCATCGTGTTTGAGGCACTGGGTACCACCATCAATCGACCATCCGGTCCTCAACAAGCGCCCATAGGAGAGAATGGGTTGACTGACCAAATCTGAAAAGGTCACCCGTTCCTTGATGAGCACTTCTCTCCCATCCTTGGCATGCATCACGATGTCCACGTCACTGTGGCCATAGGTCTTGATCTTCGTGCCCTGGGCGTCCTGGAGGTAGGGGCATACTCCACTGGTCGGAATGCCCTTGTCCATCAAACGTCCTGGAAACAGCGAGGCGTCCGCCCCGGAGTCCAGAATCACGTTGACCTTTTCCTCATCCTTCGGCACCTCATTCTCGATCTCCATGCTGTCATACTGTTGAATCGTGTTGATGATGTAGCCATGGTCCTCCTCATCCTCTGCCTCATCATCGGTGGCAATACTGTAGTACTCCACCAAGGACCTGGGGCTCTCTTGAACCATCCTGATCGAGCCAGTCAGCGATGTCTCTCTCAGATCAAAAACTGCTGGCTGTGAAACACGGCGAATTGTCTTCTGTGAAACATCTCCACCACTCGTAGTGCTCGTCATCGTTGTGGATGGAGTAGACCCCTGCTGGCTAGTGGAGCTCAAGCTCTGAGTCGTTGGAGCCTCCACTTGACGTACTCGCCAGCAATCTTTCGACATGTGGCCTGGCTTGCCGCATGTCCAGCACACTTCTGTCGTGCTCTTGCCCTTTCCTCCCTTCTCTTTGCCCCCTTTTCCTTTTCCACTCTTGCCTCCGCCCTCTGACTTTCCTTTGCCCTTATCTTTGCCCTTCTCTTGCTTGCCCTTGCTCTTGCCCTTCTGCTCTTTTCCTTTTGACTTGCCCTTGTCCTTTCCTTTCTGTTGGAGACGATCCACCTCCATCGGCATAGGGCCCTGGTCTGCACCGGAAGACATGGGGCTTGAGAACGACAATGCACCTGCCTCGTTCCATTTCGTAGTAGCATTGTCGAAGGCAATGATAGCCTCTCGAATTTGGGCGTAGGTGGATCCTTCGTTGAGGGCAAGATTCAAATGAACTTTCATTTGACCTCCCACCGAGCGCAGCAGGATGGCCGCCTTCATGTCCGGGCTCAGCTTACCTCCCAGCTTCTCGTACTGGTAGTAGTGCTCTTCCAGCTTCAAGATCTGAGGCAGCAAGGAGGTTCGCATATTGAAGCTCGGGTAGGCCATAATGCCTTGGAGCAAACTCAAAGTCCTGTTCCTGGCATTCGGCTGGCAGTTGCTCAGTAGTTGACGCAAAGCTTCATAGCCGTTGAACTGCTCCACATTTCGAATCAGGCCCATCAGCCTGCCCTGCACCAAGCTCCCCAGGAGGCTATAGAGGAAGCGTCCACGTTGCTGCTCAGGTTCTGACAACAAATCCCAGTCCACCTCGGAGTTGGATCTTCTCCACTTCTTCCTGGTAGGATCCATCAACCACCAGGAGGTACTGTTTGAATCCCCAGTACCAGTCCCTCCATTGCAACACCTCCTGTTCTCTGTCGATGGGGCTGAAGCTGTTCGGACGGGGTATAAGCTTTGCCAAGTCTCGCTTCGAGCTTCCTGAAGATGAGCTTTCTCCTCCTCCTTGGGCTTGAGCTGCATTCACACTTGCAGCCGCTTGTGCAGCTTGGGTGGCGGACTGTGCAGCCTGGATCAACGCCTGGGTCAACTCGACCGCCGCTCCTCCCGCCAAGCCAGGATCAGAGCCATCCATTTGTCACCTTTCTCCTCTCCAAGGGCGGATGAGATAGGGCCGTCAGGTGATCCTCAGTCAACCTGTTATACTCAAGGATGTGGGCAAAGGGGTACCTCAAGGTGCTTCGATCTCCAGATTCAAATAGTCTCACGCACCGAGGGCGAGCAACCTGCCACACTAGTTCTATGAACAGGCACGGTCGCAGCAAAGACGGGGCGCGAAGGGATCTTTGGGTCCTGTCCCTGAATCCGCCGCTGGAGCTCACAGGAGATGCAAAGCAAATCCTGATCCCGGCTCCGCTACCATGCGAGCGGATGTTTGACGCTGAAGGGGTCTGCGGGTAAAAGGTTGAATGGCTTTTGTTTGCCATATATATATATATTGTATATTATAATTATTATATATTATATATATTGTATATATTATATATATTATATTATATATGGTTAAAAATAATGAAATGACCTTTGCCTGTGAGACAAATATTGCAACCAAGCCTCTGAAACAGCATGGTCAGTGAGATGTCAGTATATGCGCACGCCAGGCAAATCAGGTCAAAATAGTTCCAACCTGCACAACAATTTAAATTAGCAAAGGTGTGAAGCTGAGCTTTCGGGTGTGGTAGAATATGGAGGTTCGGCAAAGGTATTCAGCCAACGAAGAAGCAACGTTTGCCAAAACTTCTGTCAAAGAAGCTACTAGGAGCAAAGGGCATCGCTACTAGGAGCAAGGACGCTACTAGGGGCTCCTGGCCTTACTACTAGGAGCAAGAAGCTACTAGGAACAATGTGATGCAGAACAAACCGACCTGCATCAGCACCCACAAAGTAGGTGGTGCAGCCCATGAGTCGCATCCTGACGACACATGAAACAAAAGACCAATAAAAAAGCATGCTGCAGCCTGTCCAGAGAATGCATGAAGAATGTGAGGTCTTATAAAGGACACGCGCCATAGTGTGGACGGTATGTCTGCCTGCGTAGCCTGCGATCCTTAGCTCCTGAGGCTCCTCAGGCTCCTAATGCTCCTCGAAAAATGTGAAAATGCTGAGAACAGTGAGAACCTACGGGCTGGTTGCTTTCCATACACCAAATGTTTGCTTCGAAAGCTGTTTCATAGCGCAACAGTTGGAACGGGCGAGCGAATGTTGTGTGCCTCCGTCACACCACCACAATTATTATTCAATGTTGCATGATCGAATACAACTGACTTACGAACTTGATAAGTTGGAGTGCACGGCATTTGACAACGTGTCTGAAGTATGACGGGACCCTCATGAAACTCCTGCTGTTGCACATGCCCGTGCACCAAACAGTTGTGGCCATTTCACTGGAACCTCTTGAAGGTAGAAGCGCTTCTACAAAACGTTTCTACAAACGAAGATTCTCCAAAACGATTTACCAAGGCCTGGTCGTGCAGGACCAAACTCTACATACATTCAAGACTTTTTTACACTCGTGCGAGAAGCCATCACGGACGACGCTCAACATACCCTGCCCTGGGCACCTTACTGCCCCAACCCCTCATCACTCGTCATTCTCACTCTCCGTCTGAGCCTAGCTGTTTCTGTCGTGAACGCACCCCACAGGTGCCAATAACCTCAAGGCCTGTCCTGCAGCAACCCACTACCTCCCCACGTTGTATTTGTTGTCCGCAACCGAATCCCCCACATTTCAATAACAAAACAAAATGGATCTGGAACAAGTGGCAGCTTGAACCTGAGTGTGACAAAACGACACGTCAAGGGTTCAGGGCACATGTTGTCGTCACATGACTGTCCTGGCTCCCGCTCGTCAGGTTGGAGGCTCTCTATCATTCTCTATGAGACTTATGATTGCTGGCCTGTTCTGATGATCTGCCGATGACCCACTGATCCGGTCTGATGATATCACGAGTGATTGTTTGATGCTAGGTGTCGTCGTTTTTTGCAGACAATTTTCCAAAATCTTCTAGATGGATTTCTCAAGGTATGATTCAGCTTGCCAGAGGACGGACACCGTGTCCTCCTGCACCGTTCTACGGAAACATGCCTCCTCCTGGATTTTCCGATGCCATCACTGCCCCCTGACCCCACATGGCCACTCCCAGACCCGAGCTCCATGCAATGTTTTTGTCAATACTGTGGTTCCTGTGAAGAGTTCTTAAGCAATTTTGCGCTGGCCCTGACCATGTTGACCACAGAAGCTCTTGTATGTAAACACACGCATGCCACTTTCCGAAAAAGAACCGCAGTCAACAGCTGGCCATAATATCACGCATCGCTTCTTTGGGGAGCTTGGTTGAACATAGTGTTGAGGGTAGTGATTAGATGAAGTGAAAAAATGCGCTATTGTCAACTGTCAATAATCTCTTCTAGCATTTGTGAGCACTCCCTGCACATCGGTCTTGTATCCTTTCCACTCTGCAATGCTTTGGTTAATTGAAACTTCGTCATGGCGTCCTCAGTAAAGCCTCCAAGCTGAAGAGCACTGTGAAAATCACCTCTAGAACCTGGGTCTCACTCTTCTTCCGTCAGAGATTACAGTGACACTTCGACATTACAATTTGCAAAGAGAAATCGCAATCAAATTCAGACCTTCAACTGCACAAGGCACCTGCCAATACGTAGCCTGCAAGCAAAAAGGAGGTGTGAGATCCCACAAACAATTGCACCAAGAATCACAAAGAACAAGAATCCAGTCCAACTCCACCTCCTGAATTCTGTCCCAGCAACTGTGCTGTTGTTGTCGAGGCTCACTCCAATTACCACCGCGTTGACCATAATCACAAAAGCTGGCCTGAAGTGAGCGGCAGTGCCTATGTTGTAAAGCGCTGCCACTTCAGCGCCATGATTTAAACAATTTCATTGCGCTATATTTTTAATGGTTTTAAAGCCTTGGGGCAATTCTTCTTTAATGTGTTTTTTCTAGTTTTATGATTGAAACTCATTCAAAGCCTCCCTCGTTCCTGCCCCAAAACGTCAAAACGACTTGCTGCGCAAAGTCCAGCCACACCATCTCTAGAAGAACTGCCTGCGGGATGGCCTGGCAAAATTCTGAACAAACAACACAGATCAAACAAACAGAGGAATGCTAAATCAAATGGACAGATTTTAAAGGGACAATTCTTTTGCGCCTCAAAGAAACTCCAGCAAGATTTGGATTTCTGCTCTGTCTTCGAGAGGGTCACGAAGCTGGTGAAGTTCGCCTTGAAGTGTCAGAACGCTGTAAAATCAACATTCAAACGCTCAATGCGAAGTCCCAGCCAAGAAAAGCAACAGCGGCTAAACAATCTCAATCAAGAAGAAAAATTTTGAGTTTAAAGCCTAGGCAACGGCTTCATTGAAGAAAAACCAGGGTTGCAGAGTGATTGGTCTGTCTACTGGCTGATCTTTCCGTGTTGTATCGATACTTTGACTTGCCTTGATATTCTATGCCCCGCACTACTAGGCGCAGGACGGCTAGGGATGCAGAATGGACTTCGCAACCCTTCTTACTCCTCCCAAGAACATGTTAAAAACAAGGTTTCTCAACTAAGCCTTGCTTGAGACGTTGCTTGCTGTTTTTTAACGGTCTTCTCATTGAACCCCGCCCACTTAAATTTGCAACTTCCAAAATTCTAGCGAGGCCCTCTTTTTTCACTGCATTATCACCCAATGTCTATCGTCTCTACGACGTGTGTTTACATGGAGGTACATGGGTGCCATCTCTTCTTTTGAGGCTGCTACGCTCCTGCTTTGGAACGCGCAATCAAGAGCCAAGTTCTGTGGTTGATTGAAGGATTTGGCGTGGTCCATGAGTGAATGCAACTGAACCTCGCCTGTTTCAGGATTGACCCAAAACACCACGCTTCTCGCCAAAGCAGCAACCACAACCACAACAACAACAACTACTACTACTACTACTACTCCTCCTCCTCCTGCTGCTGCTGCTGCTGCCACCACCACAACAACACCACCAAAAACCACCACCACCACCACCACCACCACTCTCACCTGTTTGCCTCTGCCCCTGCCACTGAGCCAGGATCCCGCCGCCGAAGGCGGCTGCCCGCTAAGGCATGGGACCACGCGCAGACCACGTTCAGGTAGTCTCGCAAGGACACTACGGAGGAGGCTTGGAGACCCTCTCGGGCGAAAACGGAGTGGCTCGAAAACAACCGTTGTTCCCTGCCCTTACCTAGAAACGCAAAAGATGATTAAAACATCGTGTTTCTTAGCGCTTTCTGCGAAACATAGTTTTTCAAAGACATAAAACACGTTCGCACGGGCGCCCCCTACCTTCAAAAGGGCTTAGGAAGGTCTCGAGGCTGTGAAGAGACATCAACGCCTTCATGAGGAGGTTGGGACAACAATGGAGGGGCCAATGATGCCACCAGATACTCGGACCAAAAGTCATTCTGCTTCACTATAGCATGATCTCCATTTTAACTTTCGTTGCTGAGGCGCTCCACTCCACCAAATTCTAACATCAATGTCAAATCTCTTTCTTCCTCACCCAAATCGAAAATCTCACAACAAACTTTCAAGGAAGGGGTCTCCAGCAGCATCCTGCAGCTCTGTGGCCTGTCTTGCCACACACACACACAAAGCAAGCGCCTTTGCTTTGCCTTTGCTTTCTCTTGACTGTTGCCGCTTCCTTTGCCTGCGCCTGTCTGGTCAGAGCAGCTCGTGTCTTTTCCTTTGCTTTTGCCTTTGTCGCCCCTGCCTTTGGGTGAACCCTTCTGTCGCTTTCCTTTGTGGCCACCCTTGACCAGCTCCTCCTTGCCGTCCTCAAGTTTCAGGTCCTAGTCCTGCTCCAACCAAGGCCAAGTAGCTCTTGAAGAGGATCGACCATGCTGGCCATGTGGGCTGCTCTTCATCCGCTGTGCTTGAAGTCCAAACATCAGGCTCACCCAGCTGCTACAGTCTGCGTGCATACCGGGCAAAAAAACGCGGAGCTCCTTCACGACTTGCTCCAACCCAGCCATGAGCCCCTGCGTCACAGCTCCAGCGACCTTGCCCTTCAGGCAGTCACTTGCATCTCAAGCCACGGGGCTCACCGGAGACTCACGCAATCGGATCACAGCTCCGCTACCACCTAGCAAGGCCTCTTTTCACTGAGCCTTGTAGCGGCCTGCAGTATCAGGTCATGTCTATCGTCTGCATGTGTTTACATCCAGGTACATGGGTGCTGTCTCTTCTCTTGGTGAAAAGGCGAGCGAAAAGCTGAACTTAGCCAACTCAAATGGAAAAATCTGATTTTGCAGGTTTGGTTAGGTTAAGTTAAAATAGCACTTTAGAGCAATCATTCACCTTGGTTGGCCTTTGTTTGGCTTCCTGTTTTGCTTGGCCTTTGGAATCGCAACTCCTGCTTGGTGTCCTTTACCCGGTTGGCTGACTATCCCGATTGCTTTGTTCATTGTCTCGAATGTCTGTCGGTTGCCTGCTTCATGCTGTTTCATTCCTCTCGTTGTCTGACATGCTTTGATCGTTTGACATGTTGCGGCTTGCCTTTTTGTCCTGGTCTACAGCAACAAGCTGGATTGTCTGCTTGATGTCGCCTGATTTTGCTTAATGTCACTTGCTCTGTCTGTTGGATTATTATGCTGTCCATTCACTGGTCGGTTGTCCTTGCTTTCTTGTTGTCTTCTCCGACTTCTCCCTTCTCTTGGAAACTTGTTCCCATCTTGAGCCTACAGTAGCCCTTCGTGTCCCTTCCGGTAATTGGAGCCATGCGTCTGTGTGGGCCTCTTCCTGCAGCCAGTTTCGCAGCTCCAAGAGTTCGTCACGAGCCGTGCCTGCAAAAGTGTCGAAATTTCCTCGCCTTAGAAAGTGAGAAATGGCGAGCCATGTCCAAGCTGAGACATGGTGGCAAAACCAAATGATGTCTTCAGGTTGTTTTCAGGTTGAAGTTGCTGCTTCCAAACAGGATACAAAGCAGCTCATGCATGTTCAGAGCCCCAAGCCACCCACCCTTGGCCTCAACCAACTGAGAAAACTGCGACAATCCGGGAGTTTCCCAAAGGTAAAAAATGCATGCAAGGTACCTAGAATAGACATATTATATATTTCCTAGCTGCTTGTCATGCAACGTTGTCATGCAACCCCTTCCTTGTGCACGACTTCTACTCCAGCTTCTGCTTATCCTTCACCATCCATTGATCCTTTCACATGTCACAAAGAATAGGAGTACACCATCTGATATTGAACGGCACCCATGAATGCTCTACTGGACGCCTTGTTTTCACGGCCTCCAATCTTGGATGACGCTTTTTGTTGGTTGCTGGCTTTGAAGATTGACGCATCGGTGATGTTGCATGCCGGATCAGCCAAGAGACATCAGCTCTGCAAAACAAGCATAGTCAATATACAGCTCTTCGATCTCCAGACAGCCTCCCATTGACACACTCTATGCTTATCTTAATTAGGTTAGGTTGGCTGGCTGTAGCTGTTGCATGCAGAACTTCAGTTCTAGTTCCTTGCAGCAGCACATTCTCAAACTGGACTCATCGCAGGCACAGCCAAAAACAGCGGTCAAAAGCACAAGATACTGCTATGTGATTCTAACAAGGAAGATCGGAGAGCTTCATCAGGCACTGACAATTACATCCTGGAGTGGTGGGATCTAGGATCCGGGCATCTGTCTACTTGACAATCATTGCTCTTTGCACCCCAAAAAACCAACATATCTTCACCTGGCTTGCTGGCCATGCTGCTCCGCGGACTGATTGTCTGGCCAACCTGTGATGTCACTCAACAGATGCAAAACCCAAAAGATAGGGTCCGTCCGCAAAAGCAAAGAGTTAGTTGCAAACGTTAACATGTTGGACTCTCTTTGAAATGGCAAACCTCTAATGCATAGACAGCTTTGCAAGCAACTATAAGCAACTCGCACCCACCTGCTTTGACAGCAGCTGCACCGCCCCCTGGCAACTCCAAGACCTAGACCTGTTACGGCCTATTTGCAGAAAGGATTGATATTTTGAAGCGACAAAGAGCTGTAGTGAAAAGAAAGTAGTGAGGAAAGGCGCAATCTGTGCAAGTACTTTAGAAGGAATGTTGTTGCTTTCAAAGTGTGCTACTAGTAATTAGTACGCAAAGACTATCCCCAAGCCTAGCAAAAAGGTTCAGTAGGCTAATGAATATATTATAAATGGTAGTAGTCAGGTTTAGTCTAGTAGCATTGATATATATATATATATACATGTAAATAATGATGTCCAGCCTTTGCTAATACTACCATTCCTTCACTTCTTCTCCGCAAATCCACTTGCCTTCAAGAGCTCGAAATTGTGTTTGCCTTTCCATTCCAGGAAGCTCTGACAAACACTCCACGGGATCGTACCTGTCACTTATGGCCAGCAGGGTAGACGATAGCTAGGAGCACAGGTTGCAAACAGGGGTTGCTAAGGTCGCCTTGGTGTTGTTCCAGAAAAAAAGGAAGCGGTGCAGAAAGCATAAGTTGGAAGACTGTTGTCACAAGGCCACACAAATGCACGTTCTAGTCTTCAGTTTTGCGGGCCCAGTATCCGCCCAAAACGCATGGCGCAAACTCCACTATGCTCCTCTGGCATTCCATGCCCTCGCAGATTTGCCTGTGGTGTCTGCTGCCAAACGCATGTAGAGTTTCTGCACCAGCTCTGGCAGAGACTGCAGAGGTTCCACCTGGAAGGAATTCACAGCAAAGGCCAAAAGACTTAAAGACACAGAAGGGGAAAACATTTACAGAAAATTTAGATATTGTTTATGGTGTTCTTCTTACCTTGCAGCCAAACCATCGAGAGTTTGGGCGGTCAGGAAGTACTGCTCCACATTATCATTACAGCTGTTTCAGTTCTCTTCTGCTGGCGTTACGTGACCCACCTCTGAGGTGCCTTCAACTTCGGCGTCCTTTCAGGGTCTTGCTTGCACACCCCCTTTCTGCATAAGGCGAAGACAGGACGTGTCAAAAGACTACTAAACCCCTGGTTGAGCAGGGACAATGAGCAATGAGACAACTGCACGAAGCTCGACATAGCTTGACAAGTTGAAGTTCGGCCTGCCAAGGCAAAGGTTCTGCTTCTTTTGGAATCTCGCCAGAGAGTGACCTCACAAACAATGGTGTTTCCGCGAGTGAATATTCTCCCACATTCTGCTTGAAACTGAACAACCTGTTTCTTCTGACTATACTACCTGTTACCCCCCAACTCCAAGTTCACAGAAAGGTAGGAAGTACAACGCACAGAATGCCACCAAAAATGGTAATGCAGTAAAGGAGCTCCGGAGGACCTTAGACGTCAAACACAAGTCTGACAGAGTTGTTGTAAGAACAATGAAGAAGGACCAAGGGAATCAAACTGAAGAGAACAAACTGTTCAAACTCTTTGCAGTTGCTGAGCAAGTTTTCCAACGGTTTCTTTGTGCAGTTTGATGCTCAATGCTTGGCAATTCCCATACATATTTCCTTAAACTGTTTGGATGTTGCTTTTTTACCAACAAATGCCTTGCTTCCACGTGGCTCTCAGTCTCTGCACCTGGCTTGGCGCTAAGCCTTGGAAGCACAGATTCGCAAAGGCACCAAAAGGATGCAAAAAGGATTCACATGAGGGCATTGAAACATAAAAACAAGGAAAGAAGCCTGCCCAAGGCATGTCAGCTTTAAAAGAAATGGTTTCCAGATCTTGTCTGCCCCAGAGAATGAGTTTGCGCCAAGATGCTCATGTTCAAATCCCTGATCAAGGCATCTCACCCTGCCAGATTGGACCTTCGCAAACTCCACAAAAAAGGGCGCCTATGATGAAAACAAATGACATGACCAGAGCCCATGTTTGCAAAGCGTAGATAAAATCCTGCTTGAACCATGTTCAGAATTACTAAATGGATCTAAATGGTTCGTGCGGATCTCCACCTGCATGCCACTTCTCAAACAAACTGTTGGCCTCACGAAGTTGCTCAAATTCTTGGAGCAACTGCAGGAGGTGCTTGTGGAAGAGGTCTTCAGCCTGCCACATCAAACCTTTAAAGACCATTTTGGGTCTAAGGGACAAATTGTTACGTTTGTCCGAAAAATGTGTTTGATGTGTTCCAGCCAGCTCGACATCGAAAACAAGTGGTGAGTCAGGCCTCGATTCGGCAGTTCTTCTCCATAACGAATGCCGCATCTAGGAACTACACTGAAGGACTGAAGGCTAGTTTGTGGATTCTTACCTTTGGACTGCGTGGACATCCCACACATGTTTCAAAAATGTTGTGGCCAGGTGCTTGGAGATCATGATTTTGTTGACTAGACAGTTCGTGAATTCTTTGGTTTGAGCTGCTTGCTATTTGCCTGCAAATCACTCGCAGCGGGCAAACACTTGCACAGGTGCAGATCAAGTGGGCACGTCCAAAGACATGTTTGCGGGATGTTGGGGTCACCGACATGTTCCTGTGATAGAAATTTCAACACTGTGCCGTACCTCACTTGCGGACTACCGTCGTCAGCACCCCATGAACGCCCTTTCACCATAGGGCAGGGCACCTAAAAAGATTTGTACAAAAACATGGTGTGTAAGTAACGACTGATGTGAAAGCGCTGAAAAAAACATGCTTAAACATGGGAATCAAATGTTTGGAGGCACTGGGCCCGATATCCCAACCACCACATCATCAGAAGCACGTGAGAAGCCAAAGTGCGCACGGACTCAACTGATAAGGTCCTACTGACGCCTCAGCCAAGTCCATTGAACCCTTCTTCAAGAATGCCGGACATGTGTGGGTCAAACGAAATGCGTCCTAGCTCTGTTCTTCATGCATTGGTGGCTCGGCCCAGCAGCTGCATGCCTTATCCCCAGAATGAGCGAATTTCCATCCGATCAGGTCAAACAACATATGGATGGTGTCTGTGATGAATGAACATGCTTCTGACAGTCCGAAGACCATGAAGTCGTTGAAGTACCCGCTCCACAAGGTGTCAAAAAATTCAACTCCGAGGTACCACATGCTGTGTGCCACCCTAAGAAAGGAGTGCACTGATCTGACACTACCGAAGGGCAGCGTGTTCATGCGAAATGCCGACAAAATATCATCAATGGTGTTTCTAACAACAATGTGTGCAAACCAAGATGCTGATGGGTGCATATGCTGCATATGCATGCGAAAACCATGTCGATATCATTCATTATGTGTTACCAGCGTGATTTAAGCCATAAATAGGCCAAATAGCAAAAAAATGATAATGCTATATCACCCATGCATGGGATCCCCATGGATGTCGATGAAGTTTAATTTATCATGTCATATTAAACATGCTCATGCATCTTTGACATGCATAGAAGGTTCCAGATATATTGTAGGCCAAATAGCAACTATGAATATGAACATTATGTATAACCCATGCATGGGATCCCCATGGATGTCGATGATATTTAATATAATATGTTATATAAATCATAAGCATGCTCATGCATCTTTGCGCAGCAGAAGCAGCAGTGGCAGCCCTCTGTCGCGACCAAGCGGCTCCTCGGGCAATGCTTTTGGCAAAGCTTCGCGCGGTGCTGCTGCAACCTGGCTTGCATTCAGTGCACTTGCACGTCACCCATGCATTATGCCCCAGAAAACAAAAGTGCCAAGGCCCTTTTCCACCTCGACTTCTCGCTCTTGCTCAGACAGGTAATCACTGCGCCAGTATAGCTACCTGCACTGAATCCATTGACTGTGAAGTGAGTTGGGGCAGCCTGCCTCACATTGCGGAAGCAGCTGAGCCTCGGCAGGCAGGCAATCAGGTGCAAGGGTTGCAGAGAGAGCAGTTTCCACCAAAGGCCACTGAGGAAGGCTTTGTGTGGAAGCCTTCGATGGGCTGGGAGGATACGAGCAGCTTGCAGCACTTGCTGTGTGCGCTGGTACAATAGTGTGGCCTTTCCAAAGCCTAACTCTTCCCACTTGTGACAGGGGTCTTGCGTGTATGTAAAGAGGGTGGCAACCTCATGGGTGCCGGTCGTGCTGCCCGCTGCAACTGCAAAGTGTTCATCCTGGACGACAGCCGCAGGTGAAAGCGAGGGGCCATAGACTTGGCTATCTCCGACTGGCGGGCACGTGCAGTGGAAATGTGGCGGGATGTCGCTCTCCAAGGCCCCCCCTCCAAGGCCGCCACAGTGAATCTGCAGCACAGGGGGAAGCGGCAGAGCATCCCCGCCTATCCAATACTCGTTTTGCTGAGCTACCGTCCAAAGGAGAGTATGCCAAGAAAATTCGGCCTGTTGCCTCTGGTACATGGCTTGAAACACTTCAGCGGCGATTCGTTCCAAAGGCATGATCTGGTTTTCGAGTTGGTCCAGGACAGTGCCATTGGCTGCGAGGAAGAGTTTTTTCTCACCTGGAAACATGCATTTAGGGTGGTCCAAGGCTGTGTGTAGCTCATCATGGGGGCAGGACTCGATGTCCTTATGCACCGCGACCAGGCCCCGAAGACTGGCGACTTGGTTCCACGACACAAAAAGCGGGGGAGACAAAAGTTGCGGACTGAGAGTAGGCTTACTCAGGTGAACTGCATTGTCTCTCCCTGTGGGTGCTTGCGCGACAGCTTGGGCAAGGTGCCATGCTCTGTTGTCCGAATTATCCGACGAGGGAGTATCGACTGATTCTAGGTCTTTTTTTTTCCACGAGTGCGGACGCCATGTGGGCAGAGTGCCCAGGTCATCGTTGAAGAAAAGGAAACATAACTTATTGATGGGAAAGGAACACAAACCAAAACAAACACCCAACGCAAACCAAAAACAACCAAGCAACAAAGCCACAAGGCCGGCCAACACCAAGAACATCCCATCAATGAAAGTAGTGTTTCCTCTGTACGGATGTGAGACGGGTGAAAAGATGGTGAAAAGATGGACTGCGAACTGTCTAAGGGCCTGAATTCACTACGAAAGCAAAAAGGCATTTGGACGTGGGTGGTTGCTCGGAAAGGGCCAATCAAAAGGTGGCCTCAGTCAATTGCCAGGGTATAGTCGCCCTAGCCAACGGTGGTTGGCGCTCGAAATTTTGCATCTTCCTACGAAGTGCCGTGAGCAATGTCAGCAGTAACTATGACACGTGCCCAGTGAGTCATCGGTTGCAAGACGAATCAAGCCGTGGAAAATTCCCTCTCCATGGCACAAGCTATACAACTGCTTGCACAAATGAAGAGCAGAGGCTATTCTTGCTTGTGGCAGAAGAAGCCATCGCAACGAAAACGGACTGCTGACAAAGTGCTGATGTCCCTCCCGCAAGGGAGGCACAACACACGCCCACTTGGAGGGTCAGCCTGCTTACTATGTAGATACTTCATATACTAAGTAGATAATGCATTTACTAAGTAGATAGCAGACTTCGGCTATGTCTACTTAAGACACTTGCTTGGAACCACTTAACCCACTTGGCTAAGTGCAGTTACATCACTTAAATAAGTCAAGTTATCCCACTTAGGATGGATGTGGTTATATCTGCTAAGTGTGGCTTGAGTAACTTAGCTAAGTGGCCTAACTGCCACAAGTAATCTCATTTTTGGGCTAATGGACTTGGAATTCTGGATGTGTCCAAGGCCTCATGTGAGGCACGCACATGTTTCGAAAACGTATTGGGAACACGTCCAGCGCCAGAAAAAACAAAGTGCGCTTTTCAAAAGAGAGATTGGAAACAGAAGTTTTGCCAAAAGCGAGTCCGCGCTTGCCTTCGACATCGGTGCTTCTGCAGAATCTGTGGTCTTCGTCTGCAGACTTTTTGATGCGGCTTCATGGAATCTTTCGCGTAATTTCGCTGACATCGCTTGAGATCGTTGCGTTTCTTGAGATTTTGACATTCCTATAGAGCATTTTTTGATACACCAAATTGTTTTTATTGCTGGATGAGTTAAAGTTTTTTCGGTTTGTTTATTCCACAGACTGTTTGTCATATGTATCTGCGCCTTGTATCTCACAGCCCTGCCATACGTGAAACTTTGTTTTTTTAAATTCATACCTTCAGGTTGGCATACGTTCCTTAAAAAAATATGTTTTGCAATGTTGGTATATGCATAGCCCCCTGAAATGTATATGCGGTATACAACCTTGGCCAAAAATGAAAGAAGGAGTCGGCAATTGGTAACAGGCAACGCGCGATGCGCGCATAAAACCAAATAAATCCATCAACCCTCACCTGCCAGCTGGAGATGTACGCTCTATTTGTCAAAGGTCATGGCAGTCAATGGTATTTAGATGGTCACCAAACCTGCATCACATCCGAAAACCAGCCGCTGCCCAAAAGACATCCAACATCTAAGCTGAGAAATAGGAGACGCTGATTACACCAGTATACTCCCAGGATAGTGTTTGGGGGCTGTGTTTTGAGCAGGTAACTACGGCACTGACAATCCCTTGCATGCACTTTTGACTGAAGGCTTGCATCATGGTCTTGTGCCTGTGATGGATCACGCATGCAATCCACGCAGCCTTGCGACATCCACCTTTCTTTGGAGTAAGCAAAAACATGTGGTAGCCAAAACATGTGGTATAATCTATGTTATTGAAATCGGTGCCGAGATCACGAAACAAAGGAACCAATTACAGATTGTTCTGTTGATTTTTGCGAATTACATGGCTTAGCGCACTGCTTCTGTACAACGGCTCCGCTGGCTAGAGTGGCCATATGACATAGGACGAGAAGTGTGCAGGCACCGGTGTTCTTTTCATGCGAAAGTCATTCTACATACGTATAGCAATGTCCAAATAGAAAGATATGTATTCTTCTAAGCGAAAGTATAACCTTCACAGTATGTCCCAATGATGGAGTGTTAAGTTTTTGGGAACTAACAAACCATCAACATGAACACATAGATGTAGCCACTCCTTTGTCACGCCATCCCCAGAAACTCTTGTATCATCATCAGCTTTTTGGGTCGTGGGGCTTCCACATTTTTGTTGAGGTGCGATATATTGTGAAGAGTAGATATTTAGCGAGCTGAAGCACCCATGGGGCACACTGCCTTATGTGAAGGATGTGAAGTATCCAATAAGCATTTACACGCTCAAAAGCTTTGGACAGATCTGCAAAGAGCGCCGATGCAGGGGTAGATCCCTCCATCATTTGTTGGACTTCAAGCACGGCCTTTTGAGGTTCTCGGAAGGCATTTAGCATAGTTTGCGCAGGGTGGAAAGAGTGCCGAGTAACTCGAAAGAGGATAGCAGCAGCTGTACCATC